CTACTATATGCCTTGCAGTAGGTCTTTTTACATTGACATATTTGGGAGATCTGATAGCTTCTTCCACATGGTTTTCCACTTCCTTTCCCAGTTTTGGGAACTTCTCTGCTATTATTTCTTTGAGCAGACTTTCTGCTCCTTTTTCCTTCTCTTCTCCCTCTGGAATACCTATAATTCTCATGTTGCATTTCCTAATTGAGTTGGATATTTCTCAGAGACTTTGTTCATTTCTTTCTAGTCTTAGTTGTCTCTTCTCTATCTGGAGCATTTCAACATGTTTATCCTCGATTATGCTGATTTCCTCCTCTATGATGTCTGCTGGAGCATTCAGGGAATCCATATTTTGTTTTATTTCATTGATTGTGCCTTTCATCTCCAATATTTCTTATTGAACTTTCTTTATAGTTTCTGTCCCTTTTGTGAAGTAGCTCCTGAACTTGAATTGTTTCTCTACATTCTCTTTTAACTTGTTGAGTTTTTCGATGATAGCTATTTTGAATTCTCTGTCATTTAGATTACATGTTTCTGTGTTTTCAGGACTGATTTCTGGTTACTTGTCATTTTCACTGTGGTCTGGAGATCTAATATAATTTTTGATACTGCTAGAGGGCGTGGCTTTGTTCTTTCACATCCTGGTATTATTTGGTTGCAGTTACCATGTATTGCCACTGGGTTGGGGTCAAGAACTGCGTATTCTGAGCCCTCTGCCTTCTGCCGAGATCCCAGGCACTGGAGCCAGTGCTGGGCAGGTTGGGGGGGGGGGGCATTTTCTTCTGTGTGCTCTTGTGGGCTTACTCGCTCTCCTCTTGCTATCTACTCTCCTGGGGTGTTGGCTTGATGAGGTCACCCCCTATGATAGCTTTCACCCTGGTCGGGGGCTTCCTCTAGGCTGCAAGGGACCTCGGGGATCTTTGATGTTCTCAAGAATGGGTGTCCCCTGCCCCCTTCCTTCCATCTCGGAAGCTGCCTGCAGTCCCAGATAGCAGTCTTTTGGGGAGGCAGTGAGGTTTTTCTCTTACCTGCTTCCACCTCCTCTGAGGGGGGCTTCAGCCTCTCCACCCTCTGACGTGTGGCTGTGTGGGTCTCTCAGATGTCTTTTGTGTTGTGTGGATGTCCTCTGTTGGAGCGTGAATGTCTTTTTCATTGTATCATGGAGGGGAGAGATTGTCAGGAGAACTCACTCTGCTGTGATGCTGACATCACTCCTATTTATTTTTTACAATTGTGATAAGAACTCCTCTGAGATTTTACCTCTTGCTGCTTTTACTACCTCTATGCACATTCTTACATTGATATCGACCTACCAGAAATGCAGTTCCAATCAATGCCAATCTCATGAAAGAGAAAATGTGAATACAGTTATTTTGTATCCTGCGCTTTGCTGAATTCACTTATTTGTTGGACATTTTGTAGATTCCTTGAGATTTTCAATGTAGAGAACTATGTCATCTGCAAATAGGGACAGTTTTATTTCTTCCTTTCTGATCTGTATGCCTTTTATTTCCTTTTCTTGCCTTACTTCACAGGCTAGAACTTCCAGCATTAAGGGAATAAGAGAGCTAAGAGTGGACGTCCTTGCCTTGTTCCCAGTCTTTGGAGGAAGGCATTTAGTTTTTTAATATCAAATATAATGTTAGCTATAGAGGTTTTGTAGTTGCTGTTAATCGAGTTGAGGAAGTTCTCCTCTATTTCTGTTTTTCTGGAGATTTATGTCATGAATAGGTGTTGAATTTTCTCAGTATTTTTTCTTCATTCATTGATATGATTGTGATTTTTCTTCTTTAGCCTGTTAATATGGTGGGTTACACTGATTTTTGAATATTGAATCAGCCTTGCATCCCTCATATTTTTTATAATTTGCTGAATTCTATTTGATAATATTTTGTCAAGGATTTTTGTGTCTGTATTCGTGAAGAATATTGGTTTATAGTTTTTTTATACTGGCGTTGTCTGATTTTGGTATTGGGATAATACTAACCTCATAAAATGAGTGGGGAAGTGTTCTCTCTTCTATTTTTGGAAGAGATTGTATAAAGTTAGTGTTAATTCTTCTTAAAAATCTTTCTTAGAATTCTCCGTGGAAGCCATTTGGGCCTGGAATTTCTTTTTTGGGAGTTTTAAAATTGTGAATTAAATTTCATAGAGCTTTTATCTGTTTCCTGTTGAGTGAGTTGTGGTTATTTGTGGTTGTTGAGAAAACTGGTCCGTTTCATATAAGTTGTCAAACTTGTGTGTGTACAGTTGTTCACAGTATTCGCTTGTTAGTCTTTTGATGTCTGCAGGGTCTGTTGTGATACCCCTTGTTTCTTCCTGATATTGGTAATTTGTGTCTGCTCTCTTTTTTTCTTTGTCATTTGTGGCAGAAGCTTGTCAATTTTATGGATCTTTTCAAGGAGCCATCAATTTGTTTCACATATTTTTCTCTGTTTTTCTGTTTTCAATTTCATTCATTTCTGCTCTTAGCTTTTTTATTACCTTCCTTTTACTGGCTTTGGGTTTATTTTGCCCTTTTTCTGGACTGTTGTGGTGGGGGCTTAGATTATTGATTTGAGACTTTCCTCTTTTCTAATGTATGCATGTAGTGCTATAATTTTCTGACATTGCTGCTTTAGCTGTGTCCTACAAATTTTGATATGGTATATGTTCAGTTTCATTTACTTCAATGTATTTTTTAGTTTTCCTTGAGACTTCCTTTTTGATCCACTGGTTATTTAGTGTATTGCTCAGGTTCCAAGTGTTTGTGGAGATTTTCCTGTTATCTTTTTGTTACTCATTTCTAGTTTGATTCCGTTGTGGTGAGAGAACATACTTTGTATGATTTCAGTTATTTTAAATTTGTTGAGGTTTGTTTTATAGCCTAGCATATGGTCGCTCATGGTATATGTTCTGTGGGCACTTGAAAGGAATGTATATTCTGCTGTTGTTTGCTGGAATGTTATATAAATGTTCGTTAGATCCTTAATTGATGGTGTTATTGAGTGCTTCTGTATCCTTTCTGATCTTCTGTCTAGTTATTCTATCAGTTGTTGAGAGAGGGGTATTGAAGTCTCTAACTATAATTGTGGATTTGTCTGTTTCTCCTTTCAGTCTATCGGTTTTTGCATCGCTTATTTGGTGGCTCTGTTTTTTGGTGTATACACATTTAGGGCTGCTCTGTCTTCTTGGTGGACTGATCCTTTATGATTGTATAATGTTCCTCTCTGTCTCTGATAATTTTCTTTCTCTAAATTCTACTTTATCTCATATTAATATATAAAAAATATAATTTTAATTAACTTAAATAGGCACATGTGGCCAGCGGCTGCCATATTGATAGTGCAGTTCTGGAAGATAGAGCTATGACACAGTAAATTTTTTTAAAAGGCAAATTTTATAGTATGTTAGAATGTGTTAAGGGCAATGAGTGGTTAACAGGAGAGGGAAATTGGGGCAGAGGGAGTGGAGGATATGATTTTAAATTGGGTAATCAAGGAAGAAATCACTGAATGTGCCACTTGAACAAAGATTTGAAAGAATGAAAGAGTTAGCAGTGCAGATATCTTGGGGAGAGTATGTTACAGGCCAGCAGAGAGGTGGTCCATTGTAAGGACTTTAGGTTTTGCTCTGAGTGACATGGAGAACCAACCACTTGAGGATTTAGAGGAGACCCTAATTCATTCTGATTTGTGCTGTATGTAGATCGTTCTGACTCATGTGTTGAAAATAGACTATTAGTGGGCAAGGGTTGGAAGCAGGGAGACAGGAATAAGGTGAAAGATGATGGTAGCCAACCCAAATGGTTAGGACAGATTTTGGGCAAAATATCAGACACTTAGTTTTAGATATGTTAAGTTTGAAATATTTAATAGACAAGCATAGACTGTCTGGAGTTCTCCATATATACGAGTCCCTGCCCTTGTGGAGCTTACATTTTACTGGAATATCAGTAGTAAATATAATAAATAAATAAGTAAGTAAAACAAATAAATAAAACATATACTATGTTAGAAAATAAGTCTTATGGAGAAAATTCAAGTAAGGGAAGAAGGATAAGTGGTGTTGGGGGACTGACTTCCTGAGAAGGTAACATTTGAGTAATGGTAGGAAAGTGGTGAGGAAATAAAACTTATGGATACCTGGGAGAATAGTAGTTCAGGTAGAGGGAACCAGGATGTAAAGGTTCCCAGGTGGGAGCATGGTTGGTGTGTTTGAGGAAGAGCAAGGAGGCGAAGTGTGGTTGGAGTGACGTGAGCAAGGGAAAGAGGATTAGGGATGACAGGACTGAGGTAACAGAAATGTCTGGGTTATAGGCCGTGTTAAGGGCTCTTCTTTTTACCCTGAGTGAGATGGGAAGCTGGTGGTTAGATTAGCAGAAGGAGGCGTGATCTGACCTACAGTTTAGCTGAATCACTCTAATTGCTGTGCTAAATAGACCGAAGGGGCAAGGGTGGAAGCAGGGAGATTCTTTACAAGACTGTTACAGTAATCCAGGCAAAAGGCTGTGGCAGCAATGGAGATGGTGAGGACCGATCCTATTTGGATACATTTTAAGGGTTATACTGACAAAATTGGCTTACTGATTGGATGTGGGATGAGAGGAGTGAAGAATGACTCCAAGATTTTTGACCTGAGCCGTTGGAGGGACAGAGCTGCCTTAGCTGAGATGGGTAAGACTGTGAAGGGATGAGCAGCAGCTCGGTTTTGGACATGTTAAGTTTGTGATGCCTATTAGACATCCACATGAAGGTGTTCAGTAGGCATTCTAATTATGAAAAATGATATTAAAACAGTGTACTCACTGTTCTGAAAATATGTTGCATTTGTTAATATCTTAATTTTTAACATGTTCAATCCTGACAAAACTTGAATATTTTGGAGAAAGAGAAATTGTCTGACTGCTTCTTGGCTTTGCCGCCAGAGTTGATAGTACTTTCTTAGAGTTAAATAAAGATGTCATTCCAATTTTAGAAATGGAAATAGAACTATATAGTCTGAGTGTTTCTACTTGCTTTCTATTTTAGGTCCTATTACTGCTGGATTGTGCAAGATACTTAACCCTGTTTTCTTTGAGGTATGACTTAAATATCAAACATCTTAAGTAAGAAAAGGGAAACATTTTAGTTTTGGAAGTCAGAATGCCAAGGAGAAGGAAAAATCTTGGGGGAAATCCTTTTCGGAAGACTGCAAACTCTAAGGAAGTTGTCGTATCCAGTGTTGCTAGTCATGAGGAGCCAACCACTACTCTTCCTTCCATGTGTGAGACAAAAGTTGATCAGGAAGAACTCTTCACCGTTATCTCAGAGATGTTTTCTGATCTGGATCCTGATGTAGTGTATTTGATGCTTTCTGAATGTGATTTTAAAGGTGAGAAAAAGTTTAGTTTGAACCCTTTGCATCTTATAAGAAGACTTCATGTACTATGCCCTGACCAGTAGTAATATAGAAAAATGACTGCCTGGTTTCTATTTTGTTCATCACTTATGGAGCATCTGCATGGGCAAGCTACTAAGTTTGGTATTGTGAGGGATCTGAAGAAGAATAAAGCATAGTTTCTGCTTTCAAGAAATATATAATTCTAGATATAAGATGTATGTATAGATATCATATTCTATGTTTTATTATTTTTTTTTACCTTCCCTCTAGAACAGGTTGGCACTCTTGACATTTTGGACTGCATAGTTCTTTGTTGTGAGTGGCTCTCCTGTGTGTTGTAGGATGTTCAGCAGCATCCCTGGCCTGTACCCACTAGGTGCCAGTAGCACTCCTCCCACCAAATTGTGACAATTAAAAATGCCTCCATATATTGTCGTATGTCCCCTAGGGGGCAAAATCATCTCTGCTTGAGAACCACTGTCCTAGATGTAAGCTCCATAAAGATGAATTTTAAAAACAGTTTTGTTTTACTGCTGTATCTCCAGTCCCTAAAATAGCAAATGACTCATAGCAGGACCTCAGTAAATATTTATTGATTGAAGAGGTAATTATAATTGTGGGAATGAGAGCTGATTGAGAGTTGAGGCTAGTAGAGTAGTATGGTTTTAAAACATTGACTTTGGAGTCAAGAAACCTAGGTTGGATTTCTAGCTCTGCCACTTAAGCTCTCTAGGTCTCAATTTTTTAATCTATTAATGAGAAAAATAATAGTACGTACCTCATGGGACTTTTTTCATAAGGTTTGAGGTGGTTTTTTTTTTTTTTTGGTAAAGTCTTCAGTATAGTATGTTATTTATAACTTGTAATAAATTGTTTAGAAATATGTTTGTAGACAGAAGGGAAACTATCAAAGTTGACTGGATGAGTAAATTAAATGTTGATGCTTAGTATTGCTATTGGCCATGTTAGTGTAGGATAAAATTATTCTAGATTTGGGAAGTTTTGATAATGCATGATAACCTTCCATTTTTATTCATTATGTGGTCTGTGATGTGAGCATACCTTTATCTATTCTGTTATGATATGTATGCAGTAAACCAGTTTTCAGTAGTCCACTTGATGCTCAGAAATGATAGTGTGTAGAATTTTGTAAGTGTGAGTTCAACATTTTTTTCCTAATTTTGATGTCTTTAAAATTTATTTGTTTCACATTCACTAACACAGCCATGAGGAATTACAAGAAAAATATATTACCTTCACATACTAACAAAAAATATATTTCTCTTTTCCAGGATCTTCTCTACACCTTGTTCATAAATACTGATATTTTGATTAGTTTGAATAATAGCATTGATGAGATTGTATATTCTACTTTTTAAACTTAAGTTAACATAAGCATTTTTTCAGTGTTGCTGCAATCTTCATATTTATTTTTAATAGCTTTCTAATATTCCGCTAAGTTGTTGTGCTTTAATTATGTCTGAGTTCTTCATGAATAATTAATATTGCAGAAAACATCTTGGTATAAATAACTTTTTCCTTCTTTTGACTTTTTTCTTAGTCCCAAAGTTTTATTTTCTTGTGTCACAGGGTGAGAACAGTTTTCAGCTCTTGGAAACAATACTGCTAAATTGCCTACCAAAGAGGTGTGCCAATTTGTAATACCACCAGCACAGTATTAGTCTAGTGGTTTCACCACAGCCTTTTCAGCATTGTGTAGTATTATTTTTAAGGTTTTAATAGGAATTAAATGACACCTTTTCTTAATTTGTGTTTTCTTAAAATAGAGAGGAATGTTGAATTTTTTTAAAATAAAGAGGAATACATTTTTGTGTATGATTGTTCATTAATTCTTGTATTCTCATGTGACTTGTTCATTCATGTGTTTTTTGTTGTTTTATACCATTGTTTTAATTTTTTCCAAAACTCTGTAAGGACTCTTCTTTTGTGTAATATATGTCTTGATCTTTTACTTACTTTTACTTAATACTGTTTTTCATTATATACATGTTAATTTTTTTGGTTGATCTTTTCTTTTGTGGTTTTTCTGTTGTGTAGAGTTTTTTTCATAGGAATACCTCTTGTATTTGCTTTGTTTCTTTGTTTCTTTCTTTTTTTTTCCCCCTTTTTCCACATTTAGGGCATCTGGTTTTGTAGTATTGCTATAATCACCTAACTGGTCTCTGCTAGGTTTGCCCCCTCCAATCCCTCTTTGTTTTTCTTCTTAAGGGAACATTAATTGGGTGCTTACTAGGTGCCAGTCCTTGTGCACAGCATTTTTTCATGGATTATCTCATTTAATCCTCAGAACAACCCTATGAGGTAGGTATTTTTATTATCCCCATATTGCAAATGAGAAAATCAAGGCTTAGGAAAGTTAAGTAACTTGTTCAAAGTGTCATAGCCAGCAAGTAGGGATTTAAATGCTGGTTTCTGACTCTATACCAGAGCTGTTACCAACTGTGCTGTGCTGTTTCCATATTTATCTTCCATAAAACAAAACAAGATAAAACAAAAAAGCCCCCAATTTGAAATGCTTAACAATTCTAATGGTTCCTTATTTGTCTTATAATGGAAAGAGCTCAGCTTTGGAGTCAGACATACCAGTCCTGGGTCTGTCACTTATTATCTGTGTGACTTGGGCCAAGTTATATACTTTTTTATTTTTTATTTTTTTCATTGAGGTCATATTGGCTTATAACATTGTGTAAATTTCAGGTGTACATTTTTATATGTCAGTTTCTGTATAGATTGCACCGTGTTCACCACCAGTAGTCTAGTTTTTATCTGTCACCATACATGTGTGCCCCTTTACCCTTTTCACCCTCCCCCAAAGTTATGTACTTTTTTTTTTTAAGATTTTATTTTTTTCCTTTTTCTCCCCAAAGCCCCCCAGTACATAGTTGTATATTCTTCATTGTGGGTCCTTCTAGTTGTGGCATGTGGGATGCTGTCTCAGCGTAGTTTGATGAGCAGTGCCATGTCCACGCCCAGGATTCGAACCAACGAAACACTGGGCCGCCTGCAGCGGAGCACGCAAACTTAACCACTCGGCCACGGGGCCAGCCCCCAAAGTTATGTACTTTTTGAGCTTCATTTTCATCATCTGTTTGCTGGGAATACTTTGTGTACCTCACAGTATTATTTGAGGATTCAGTGAGGTGATATCTGTAAAGTCTCTACCCTAAATGCTATGACAGGTAATTTCCCTTCAAATTCCCTTAGAAAATGAAATTGATATTTCTTACCATGACGTGTAGGACCCTTCCAGATTTCACGTCATCCCCCTTTCCAGTTTCGTCATCTTTTCTTATCTGCCGTACTACTGTGTTCCCATGCTCCAACCAGCTTCTCTTAATCCCGTAAACATGCTTTGTGTTTTCAAGACTGGCTTTGCCTTTCCCCTCTGTCTTACAAGTTTCTTTTTAATCTTCAAGTCCCAGTTCATGTATCACCTTATGTGAAATCTTTCCTTGCTCTCCTATAAGGCTGCTTATAGCATTTATAGATTATTAAAAGTGTACATTGTTTAATCTATATTATATTATAATGTATTGTCTTCTAATGTAAAGATCTTTAATAGCCTCCATTAGACTGCAGAAATTCTTTGAGTATAGTATAACAATATTTTATTCATCTATGTACAAAGGATATGTGATATATAGTACATGCTCATACATATTTTTTGTATTAAGTGAAATTAATAGCATGGACCATATAAACAAATTAGGTTTACTAAGAGAGTGCTTAAAATACTTAATCCTTAAAGAACATGCAGTAGGTAAGTATTTGTTGAATAAATCAACCAGTTAGGATCTTTATTAATAGCCCTAATACATGCAATTACAGATATTTTTCCACTTAATAAATTTATCAGAGAATATCTACTTGATGGCAGTTCATTAGTCTAGTTTATTACTGTTTGTCTGAAAGTAACAACATTGGATGTCTCCATCATTCATTCAGAACTTTTACTGATACAGACTGGTATGTTAGTAAAATATTGCTTTTAAAAAAATGACTTGAATATTTATAAGTTTCTCTACAATGCAGAATCTAGTATGATTATAGTAGATTTTAATCAAATCATATTTTACTATTTTCAGTACATATATATATATTTTTTTTGTTGGTGTTACTGTTGTTCTTGTTATTGTACAGTTGAAAATGCCATGGATTGTCTATTAGAATTATCTGACACTGATGCCAAGATAGAAGAATCATCTTCAAAAAGCTTCATCGCTTCTGAGAACCAAGTAAGTGCAGCGGGACATGAAATAATGGAAAAGTGTCCTCCTGAAGGAGAGAGTGAAGATTCAAAAATGGATTCATTTTTGGACATGCAGCTAACTGAAGACTTGGATTCCTTAATACAGAATGCTTTTGAGAAATTGAACTCTTCTCCCAGTGACCAAGTATACTCATTTTTGCCTTTGCAAGATGTTAGTAGTTTTAGTGACCCGAGTGAATTTATAAATTCAGATTCAAGTAGTATGACTCCCATTCTTTCTACACAAAATATGGATTTGAACAGTGAAAATTTAGAGAATTCCGCCTCTACATTAAATTCAAACTCCTTAACTTCGTATTCAGTTTCGAATGAGTCCAAAAGTGTTATAAGGAATAACACATTGGCACTGGAAGATTCTCTGCTCAGTAGTTCTTTACATGTAGCAGGTGACACCAGGGGGGGTTGTAGCAATCTCAATCAAAGACAGAAAGAGCTTTTAGAATCGGAGTGTCTTCAGGCTCAGTTCTCTCAAGCTCCTGTAGATTTGGATGTCAGTGAATCTCAGGCTCCTTTAAACCTCACTGTGGAAAATCCAGGGCTTGGTTTGCTAGGTAGAGGTGAGAATCAGAAATCTACTTCTGTACCTGATATGTTTGTACCTTCTGAAGAATTCAGTTTCAAGTCACACAAACATACTGAACTGCCGCCAAAGGGGAAGGATGTGAATTACTGCCCAGTACTCACCCCTCTTCCTCTACTCCTGCCGCCGCCTCCACCTCCACCAATGTGGAATCCAATGGTTCCTACTTTTGACCTCTTTCAAGGAAACCATGGCTTTGTAGCTCCTGTTGTAACCACAGCTGCACACTGGAGACCTGTCAACTATACGTTTCCACCCCCAGGTATTTCTCACACTTCCCCAACAAAGGTATGGAGAAATAAAGAGGGAACAAGTGCTTATCAAGTACAAGAAACTCCAGTTTCTCAGGTTGTAAGAAAGAAGACATCATCTTATGTTGGACTAGTTCTTGTTCTTCTCAGAGGGCTTCCGGGATCAGGAAAATCTTTTTTGGCAAGGTATGAGGTTTAATTCAGTTTTAAAAAAAGAGTATAATTCATGAACCTGTACATTTGTAGTAGTATGAATATGTGAAATGCTTTTGCTTAATAGAGATGTTAATAACCCCTAAAATGTTTTCTTTTTACTAATTTTTTCTAACTTTGTAGCTAATAGCACTTTTTTCTCCAGTTTTTATTGAATTCTTTCATCTTAGATTATTATTTTGAGAGACAAGTAGAGAAAGAAATTAAAGATAATTTCAAGATTGTGAGCTTGTGAAATCAACAGAAATAGCTTTATGTAGAGGAAAACTAATTTGGGAGAAAGATGAGTTCATCTTTGATTATAGAGTTAAAGGGCCATAATCGATTTTGAATTCAAGGAAGTCTTAAATACAAGAATTCTACTGCTAGTTGGAAATTTGTAATTGTAGCATGTTGTTAAATAATGCTGTTAAAAATGTGTGATTTGAAGGAAGACAGCATAGGATGAGTCACTGGTAGTCAGAGAACTTTAAGTTTTCACTGATTTATTTGCTACAAAATATCAAACTCTCAATTATTTTGTCTCATATGTCCATCTGTGTCCCTTTTGTAGTTACGGTATGTTGTGGGTGGCTTTGTCTGGGAGACTAGAGTCAGGCTTGGGAGCAGCTTTGTTGTGTTTTCAGTAGCACATGTTAAAGAGTATTGTTTTCAGAGTCTCTCCTACCCCACTTATTCTTTAAATTCCAGAAGGTCTACATCTAATATATTTTATTTACCAGTTCTTTTTTTTCCTTTTCCTTCCAAATTTTAACTTTTTGCTTTCTTCTCTTCTTAGCTGGGTCTTTTTTATTTGATCATGGGTATGTTTAGTCTTAGTGAATATGCATATTAGTGAATATGCATATATACTTGGGAATGTCTTTGATGAGCTCATTCTCAGTTTTCTGATATGCTTTCTTTGGGTTTATTTTCCAGTAAATTTCCACATTTTCTGCTCATTCAGTTATAAGCATATTCTTCTATAGACTTTCTCATTGATTTAATAACAACAATAATGAACCATTTTAATTTAATGTTATGGATATTACAATCCTTCATGATATTGTATTTTGTGAAAGAGATTGGAATGAAAGGTGGTACCTTAAAACGTAATAGAGCTGTGACACAGGTTTGAAGAACTAGGTTTCAGGGGCCATGGAGCCAGAGGCAGCTGCAGTTAGAGAATGGGAAGAGAAAGAAGTGCTTGTCATTAGGTAGGAAACTTAGTAATATTTTTTGAATGAGAGAAATAACTGGGAAGTGCAGAGACATAGAAGCTGAGTTTTCTTAGAATGGTCCATAGTATTAAACTAGTGTGCAAGCCTAAGGAAAATAAGGCATGAAAAAAGGCTTTTGGATTTATTGGAAAGAAAGTCATGAGTGGATATCTTAAAAACAACTTTGTTGCACGGCGAAGGTAGAAGACAAAGGGTTAATGAAGCATTGATAAAGCGGCTAAGGGAAGGAGAGAAGCTGGGTAAGAGTTGAAAGGGGTCCTTACAGCATGGTGAAAATTTTTAAAGATAGATGAGATGCATCCATGTTTAAAGAGAAAAGAGGAAGTGTCAGAGAAGGGGAAATCTAAGAGATAAAGGAGACGAGGATAAATAGAGGATAGAAGGTGGCATCAAGTGAGCATTCACTAGAAGGTAAGCTCCATGAGTGCAAGAATTTTTGTCTTTTTTATTCACTGCTGTGTGCTCAGTGCTTAAAACAGTGCCTGGCACTTAGTAGATGCTAATAAAAATTACATTCAAGAGATGTATTTTATCTTTAGATACACTTATACCTATTTTAGGAGGAGACAATAAATGGTGATATTTTACAAATGGTCAAGAATGGTAGCATTATGTCTCTGTGGATTCTATTTGCTTAGTCGTTACATGTATCTCAATTATGTAGAAAATAAATTCCAGAATCAGGAAAGAGAGGTGTCAACCCCCCCCCAAAACTATCTTAACTGTGTATAGTTTAACAGATTAATAGTCTATTAACATTATATTGTTGGATGTTTTTGGCGTACTCACTAAATTTATAGCAGTAGAGCTTTATCTGCTTTTGGAGATCTGTTGAATATCAAGCTACTTGCCTACCTTGAAGTGACCTTCCACTTAGAGTGGGTGAAGTAGGTCACTATGTATCAAATGACCAGGTGAGGGGGAACCTGTGACTGATAGGAGTTCTGAAGCATTTTCAGTTACCAGGTTTTCTTGATAACTAAATTTGTTAATCTTCAAACCTTTGTAGTTAAGGATAAAGGACTTTATAACATTAAACAAGTGTCTGAAATAATAATTTACATAAAGCAAAATAGACTTGTCTTAAGTCAGTTTTCTTGGGCGTCAAACTTTTGCTTAGAGGATTTGCAATATGATTCATTTGAATATTACAATATTCTCGCTCTTTTAAATAATAATACTTGAATTTTCTATTTGAATTATGACCTTGTAAAAATTAGGAGAGAAAATTTGAAGAAAAGTTTATGAAAATAATTCCATTTATCTTTCACAGGACTTTGCAAGAGGATAATCCGAATGGAGTCATTCTTAGTACTGATGATTATTTTTACATAAATGGACAGTACCAGTTTGATGTAAAGTACTTAGGAGAAGCACATGAGTGGAACCAGAATCGTGGTAAGAATAGACATCGGATTCTGGAATAATATTAAGAGTAGTGTAAAGAGGGGGCCAGCCATGTGGCTGAGTGGTAAACTTTGTGCACTCCGCCTCAGCGGCCTGGGGTTCACTGGTTTAGATCCTAGGCGTGGACCTATGCAGCGCTCATCAGGCCATGCTGTGGCAGCATCCCATGTAGAAGAACTAGAATGACCTACAACTAGGATATACAACTATGTACTGGGGCTCTGGGGAGAAAAAAAAAAAGAGTAATGTAAAGAAAAAATCTGCTTAATATTTGTATTTTGAGACATATAACTTTTAAAAAAGTTATAATTAACTTTAACTCTATATTATAACTATAATATATATGTAAAATTATAACTATGACAATCTTTATGTTATATAGTAAGAGGTAACCTTATCTCATAGAGTTGTTGTGAGGATTAAATGAGTTAATTTTTGTAAAATGCTTAGATCATTGCATGGCATGTTTAAGTTTCATTTAATCAATGTCGTCAGAAGCAAATAAGATTTTCTACTTGGGTCACAGCGTAGCTCAAGATGGTTACAGTTGTCTGGTATTCTCTGGTTCCTGTTTCCTAAAATGGAATTTGCATCATTAACCACTAGTCTTCCCTAGGTTGGTTTAATTTTAATTTTTATGGAGGATAATGGGAGAGTAAAAATGACTCTCGTTGGGGGCTGGCCCCGTGGCCAAGTGGTTAAGTTCGTGCTCTCTGCTTCAGTGGCCCAAGGTTTCTCCGGTTTGGATCCTGGGTGCGGACATGGCACCGCTCATCGAGCCATGCTGAGGCAGCATCCCACATAGCACAACTAGAAGGACCCACAACTGAAAATATACAACTATGTACTGGGGGGCTTTGGGGAGAAAAAAGGAAAAATAAAATCTTTAAAAAAAAAAAGGCTCTCAAACTGAATCTGTGGGAAGATCATAGGTAAAAATCTTAATTTCTTTATTAGTGCAACTGTTTGTTTACTTAAGATGGTTTTATCATGAAATGTTTAGTTATATGAATAGTTTGAATTTTATATGGAGAATTCTTATGAAGACTATAGACAATATTTTACTTAGCCTTTCTTTTATGATAAATGCACTGTCAGGATGATTCTTGAGTTTGCTATCTTCAGACATTGTTAAATTTTTAAATATTCTTTCTTGAACTAAATGTTAAAGTGAGAACTCAGGAATATGAAAATACCAACACAGCTAAAAATAAAAGAAACAGTATGATGTGGTGAAGAGCAATCTTGGGTTTGTCAGTTACTAGCTGTGTGATTTTGTGCAAGTTTCAGTTATGCACCACATAACAACATTTCAGACCACATAAATGCCGGTGGTCTTGTGAGATTGGTACCATATAGCCTAGATGTCTAGTAGGCTACACCATCTAGGTTTGTTTAAGTGTACTCTATGATGTTCGCACAGTGATGAAATCACCCGACAATGCCTTTCTCAGAGTGTATCCCCATCGTTAAACAACGGATGACTGTATTTATACTCTCCAAGGCCCAGTGTCTTCATCTGTAAAAGGACATAATAATGCTTAACCCCCAGGATTGTTGTAAAGGTTAAAAATGAGAATGAGAAGTGCTTAGGAATGGTTCAACATGCCCTTACTACAGCAACAACCACAGCAATAATAATATTAAATAATAGTATTAAATCTTTTTTAAACAGATTAATTGAGAGATATTTCACATGGTTTTTAGCATACTCAGAGTTGTACAACAATTTAGAACATTTTTATCACTCCAAAAATTTCCTGTACCCATTATCATTCACTCATTTCTCCCCAACCACTCCTAGCCTTAGGCAACTACTAACCTACTTTCTATCTATAGGTTTGCCTATTTGGACATTTCATATAAATGGAATCATATAATATGTGGTCTTTTGTGAATTTTTTTTCACTCAGCATAATGTTTTCAAAGCTCATCCATGTTGTAGCATGCATCAATACTTCATTCCTTTCTCATGGCCGAATAATATTCCATAGCATAGATATGTTGCATTTTATTTATCCTTTCATTAGTTGATGGACATTTGGCTTGTTTCCACTTTTTGGCTGTTATGAATAATGTTGCTATGAATATACACACCTAAGTCTAACCTTTTTAGGAACTGCCAAGCTGTTTTCCAAGGCAACTGCACCACTTTACATTCCCACTAGTACTTTATGACCTTTCCAACATCTCTGCATTGTCACCAACACTTTGTTATTATCTGTCTTTTGACTATAGTTATCCTGGTGTGCGTGGCTTTGATTTGCATTTCCCTAATGGCTAATGGTGTTGAACATGTTTTTGGCTTTTTGGCTATTTGTTTATCTTTGGAGAGCTGTCTATTCAAGTCTTTTGCCATTTTTCAATTGGATCATTTGCCTTTTTATTATTGAGTTGTAAGAGAGTAGACAGAACTTTTAAAACTTCCAAATAATTTCCTTGTAAAGCTTATTTATTGTGGTTTATCATTAATTTCCTGAATGGTCTAATTCCTTGGGGGAAAAAGGTAGTTTTATAAGAAAATCTCCTGCACAACAGTATATAATATTTTCTTTATTTCAAATCATTATATATATATTTTTTGGTGTTTGTCCATATTTTTTGTTTGTTTTTAAGCTTTATTTTGGAATAATTTTAGATTTATGGGAAGGGTGCAAAGGCAATGTAGAGTTTCTGTATATCCGTTGCCCAATTTCCCCTAATCTTAACATGTTATATAACCACGGTACATTTGTCAAGACTAAGAAATTACCACTGGTACCTTACGATTACCTAACTCCAGACTTTATTTGGATTTTAGTTGTTTTACTAAAGTCCTTTTCTGTTCCAGAGTCTTATCCAGGATACCATGTTGCTTTTAGCATGATATTGTTTTTCTTGTCTTTCTTTCTTTTTTTTTTGAGGAAGATTGGCCCTGAGCTAACATCCATGCCCATCTTCCTCTACTTTATACGTGGGACAGCTGCCACAGCATGACTTGATAGGCGGTACATAGGTCCACACCCAGGATCCGAACTGGCGAACCTGGGGCCGCTGCAGTGGAACATATGAACTTAACTGCTATGCTACTTGGGCTGGTCCCAGCATGATATTGTTTTTAGTGATAGCTTTTTAAAAATTTATGCTGTTTATGCTTGTAACACACATGCAAAACTTAGATCAGATAGTTTTAGTTAATACTTTTCTCTGATTATAACCTTAGTATTTGTTTATTTAGTATTTATTATTCAACATTTACCTGTACTTTAATTTTTCATGTACTCAAAAGTGATATTTAGAAGTAGGGCTGTGAAAAAATTAGCACATTTATGATTTTCAAATTATGAAAACAAGATCAGATTTTTAAAATATCAAGATAATGCTTAATATTGTTATTAGAAATGATTTGTCATTTTCTGTGTGTGTTTTTCAGCAAAAGAAGCCTTTGAGAAGAAGATATCTCCTATAATAATAGATAATACAAACCTACAGGCATGGGAAATGAAGCCATATGTTGCTTTGGTTTGTACCATAAGTTGTCGTAAGTCTATAATAGAGGGCGTAAAATTATTGGAAGGTGTTATTTACACAAGTGAATCTCAAGCAAACAGTCCCTGGACTGTCTGTAACTGAATTTTCTCTGGTCTTTAGCAAAATGAGAAAAATAAAAATAGTTTTTTCCATAAAGCTAAATTTATTCAGTTTTCAAATTCTGAGATTCAGTTTTTAAATTCTAAGATTATTTTTGTTTTTTGATGTCTTTTATGAAAAAATAGTGGTATTAAATTATAATTCTGTTTGTGTGTATATAATAATTTTATGTTTGTGTGTGTATATATATATATGATTCTTTTTCTTATTGTTCTTATTTGGCAGAATCACAATTTGTTGATTCTTTGTTATTCCTCAAGTTTCTTTTGAAATTTTGCTATTCTGAGAAATTCAGAATTCTGTAAACTCAACTATTTTCAGTTCTCCAGACTTGTCACAGTCCTTTTTTGCACAGCTTTGATGTCACCATTTTTCAGAAAGTTAGCATTCATTAACTTACTAAAAAGCTGAGTTGAGTACTCTTTCTACTTTTATGGCACCCTGGCTTTATTCTGTCATAGCATTAAGCGTACTGTTTTTTTGATTTTTTCCTTTTTTTGAGGAAGATTTGCCCTGAGCAAACATCTGCTGCCAATCCTCCTCTTTTTGCTGAGAAAGACTGGCCCTGAGCTAACATTCGTGCCCATCTTCCTTCACTTTATATGTGAGATACCTACCACAGCATGGCTTGTCAAGCAGTGCCATGTCCACACCTGGGATCCGAACTGGTGAACCCCATGCCGCTGAAGCGGAACACGCGCACTTAACCGCTGCACCACCGGGCCGGCCACAAGCATACTGTTTTTATCAAGTAGGGTTGGCTAACTTTTTTCTGTAAAATGCCAGATAGTAAATATTTGAGGTTTTGTGGGCCACGTACAGTCTCTCTTGCATATTCTTTTTTTTCTCTTTTTTCAAACGATTCTTTCAAGACATAAAAACTATCTTTAGCTGCTAGGCTATCCCAATACTGGCTGAATTTGGCTCTAGGCCATCTGTATATTCTTGAGGGTAAAACTGTTATTTTATTTCTCATCACATCTCCAGGGTATAGCTCTATGCTTGACATGTGTTAAATGTATATTCATTGAGTAAATTGACGAATGAAGCTTTTGTAAGTTTTGGGTATTGTTTGGTTTATTCCCCAAAGATTAGCACATGCCTGGACATGGGACCTCAATTTTTGCCTTAGTGAATGAATGTGGTACTTCCTCTTCTATGTTCTTGACACGTCCAGCCTCTATCTCCTTTGCTGTGCCTAGTGCACTTGTACTGTTTTGATGGTGTGATGCTTCACCTTCTGAAGAAAATTGTGTCTTTTGAAAGCAAATGAGATTTTACTTCTGTGCAGTGTCAGTAGAGGAAACAAAGACACGATTTTACTGTATTTTGGGAGCTGGAATTCGGTTTGCTTTCTGGCTTTAGGAGTTCCTAATTTCTAGGTGAATATGTTTACCATGGGTGGCATGCTTTCCCCCTTAACCTTACTTGACTTCTCTGTAGGTTTTCCTTAGCTTCCTGCTGTCATCTTAGAAAGTTCTTTGACACTTTATTTTCCTGTGTAGAGAATAAAGAAGGCCTCGAATTACTCTTTCTGATTTTCATTTTGCTTCAGGTTTCTATAATGTTTTCCTTTCCATTTTTTCTTATATAATAATTGAAAATATAAAGCTATTTTTCCATTATTGATTCCTTGGCTCTTCTCAACTCAGAAATATAAAGGAGTCATAATTATTGTAGAGTGGCAAACTAGTTTTTTCTTCATAAAGTAGATATAGGAATTACTATATAGAAGGAGAGTCACTTTTTGCTTCTTTTAGTAGCAAGATAATAAGAGCTCTGGAGGAGTTGAATAGATTGGAGATAACTGTCTATTACTGTTTTGACTGTCATTTACAAAAGTAGCTAAGTAGTAAATTGAGAATAAATAAGGGACAGTCAGATATCTTAGTGGCAACTGGCAAAACTTATTACTTTACTTTAAATATGTATCTATATATAAAAATATATATATCTTCCCTTGTGAGCTATCATATAGCGTGACGTAAGTAAATCAGAATCCTCTCAAGTGATATAACATATTATTAAGATTTGCATATTGATAGGGGAGTTGAAAAAGTCTTTAAATTCATAGTCTCTGTTTTTCTCTGTGTGTGTGTGCGTTTAAAATGAATTTGATCCTAAGAGCTACATGACACTCCTTTAGGTAATTAAAGACCTGGGCTGTTATCAGGCCCTGAATAAGTTGGATGAAATTTGGTGCTGTAGTGAGGAGATGGAAGTGACTAGGCTCATTACAGGTTGTTATGTCACTTTCTACCTTGGCGTCTGGGTTGACTTTTGGGCTTTTCTGTCAGTAATGACAGATTATAGCAGTGACCACTTTGGGCATCTTGTCATAAAACTGAGGGGATCGTAGTGAGAGAGGAGGTGAAGTCAGAGATGTAGTGGTGGTTGGAGAGATTGTGTGAGGGCTCACAGATCACTGTAAGGACCTTGAGTTTTACCTTGAGTGGCGTGTAAGATGTATTAGTCTGCTTGGGCCGCCATAACAAAATATTATAGACTGGGTGGCTTAAACAACAGAAAATTGATTTTCTCACAGTTCTGGAGGCTCGAAGTCCTGGATCAAGGTCCAGCAGGGTCAGTTTCTGGTAAGAGTTCTCTTGCTGGCTTGCAGATGGCCATGTTCTTGCTGTATTCTCACATGGTGTAGAGAGTGAGTTCTGTGGTGTCTCTTCTTATAAGGACACTAATCCTATCGAATCAAGGCCCCACCTTATGCCCTCATTTAATCTTAATTACTTCCATAGTTAAGGCCCTATCTTCAAATATAGTCACATGACAGGAATGGGGTTTCAACATATGGGGTTTGAGGAGACACAAACATCAATCCAAAGCAGAGGGTTTTAAGCAGAGTGGTGGCATGATCCAACTATTTATTAATAGGATCACTGTAGTGTAGTGTTGAGAAGAGACTTGGGAGGACAAGCATGGAAACAGGGAGACTTGTTAGAGGGCTATAGCAGTAATTAAAGTAAGAGATCATGTGGCTCACACCAAGGCATGGTAGCAGTGAAGGTGACAATAGTAATTAGATTCTGGATATATTTTGAAAGTAGAGCCGACTGAATTTCTCGTTGGATTGATGTGGAAGTGAAAGGAAAGGAGGAGTCAAGTATGACATCAAGGTTGGTTTTTGGCCTGTCTAACCGGAGACTGTTATCAGCTGAGATGGAGAAGGATTCTGATAGCATAGTTTTGAGGTGGGGGTGGCGTAATGGATTTCTGAAGTCTGGGTTTGGATATGTTAAATTTGTTGAATAGGTAATTGGATCTATGACTTTGGAGTTCAGAAGCGAATTCTGGGCTAAAGATATGTATTTGAGAGTCATTACCATATGCATGATATTTAAAGCCAAGGAAGGGAGTGATATTACCTAAGAAGTGAGTCTACATCAAGAGTAGAGGATCTAGGACTAAGTTTGGGGCATTCCATTGTGAGACATCTGAGTGAAAAGGAAGGACTAGCAAAAAGACTGAGAACACTTACCCAGTGGGGTAGGAGGAAAAACAATAGTGTGTAAGGAAGAAAAGTCTAAGGAGAAGAGAATGATGAACTGTGACAAATGCTGCTAAAGGTCAAGTAAGAGGACTGAGAATTCACCATAGCAGTTTTCAATGTGGTAGTAATTCATGGTCTCAGTGCCCCCAGTTTCAGTAGAGTAGCCAATTGGAGTGGGTTTAAGAGAGGCTAGAAGAGAGAGGAGCTGGAGACAGAGAATACAGTAATTATTTTTAGACATCTTCCTGCAAAGAGGAGCAGGAGAATGGGGAGATAGTTGGCAGGGGAAGTAGGGTTAAGAGTAAGATGGGAGAAGAAACAGAATGTGATGGGATTGATTCAGGAGGAAGGGAGAAATTGCTGAACCCAGTTATCCTGGGGATGGAGAGAGGAGATGGATCTAGTGCGCAAGTGTAGGGCTTGGTTTTCAGGTTATAGTCATATTAGAGTTTTGAAAAGTAGAGTGAGCTGTTATTTGAAGTAGTTTTAAAATTATGGAAGTCATGCCATATATATGATAATGATTCAAACCATAAGAAAGAACACCTGAAGTCCTACTCCCTTGATTAGATGCTTTCAATATTATTTTTGAGAATCTTTCCAGAAGTTTTCTATACATGTATAAATATGTGAATAATCCTTTTTTACCCTAGAGAAAATTCTGTATCTTTCTTAACAATTTATACTAAGGACCTTTTCTAATTGTTAATACATATAGAATTTAAAAAATTACTGTATAATATTTTCATTGTTTGGTTGTACCTTCACTTATTTAGCCAGTTCCATATTAAAAGCCACTGAGTTGTTTGCATTTTTTGGCTGTTACAAATAATGGTGAACTGGATATCCTGGTGTATATATATCTTTGCACTCTTACGTAAGTATTTATCAGTAGCTTGAGTTTCTGGAAGTTAATTGCTGGGTCAAAGACATTGCGTTTTACCAGTTTAACAAACTCATCAAGATTAGATAATCTTTTAGGTTCTTCCAGTTTTAACATGCTTTGAATTTGAATACAGTGAATTTAATTTCATGGAAGTAATTATTTTTAAATGTTTTTGTCTTTTTTGCATGTAGTCGCAAAAATATAAATATAAAGTTCTTTTTCGGGAACCAGACACCTGGTGGAAGTTCAAACCAAAGGAACTTGCAAGGTAACACTTGAAGGCTATCTAACATATTTTTTATTTCACGACAGTGATAGAAAGTCCATCTAGATTTTTTCCCCTTATAAATAATGAAGGAAACAAAATGGATTAGATTGCAGCTTTGTCGCTTAAAAATTGTTAAGAAATTTTGTATTGCCTATAGACTTTTCTTTTTCAGTTTATGAAGAGTTTGTATCTTTTTGTTCCTAAAGTTGAGTTAACAGAAAAATCCCAGTTGTCTTATATAGTCAGAACTTTATTACTTATAATGTCAATATCTGAAAGTAGAACAGACTCTAGGGTTTGGCATACCTGAACCACGTACTCCTGGGAGGAACAAATTCTTGTGGCTGCCTAGTGACTTGGAATACAGGAAGGAGGTGAGGATGTATAGATGGAAAAGGTAGCAAATATCCAGCTGTTGAGATATTTCACTCCCCGCCCCCCCACCTTTTTTCCCCCAAGGTTAAACGTTTTTATTTGTTTGATTGTTTGACTTGAATAAAAATGTTACTCAGATCATGGACATAAAATGTATTTTGCTTCATGCTATGGATTCCCTTAGAGTTAGCCCTAACTTAATTCTGGTCAGGGTATTTTTTTCTTAAGAGGTAATTTTAAGTGATTTCTATACTAACTAAAGGACAACCTAATTTTAGTATGTTCACAATGTGGTGCAACCATCACCTCCAAAAGAAACCCCATATCTGCTATAAGTCACTCCCAGTTCTCCCTTTGGCAGTCACTAATCTGCTTCTCTGTTTCTGCGGACTTGCCTATTCTGGACATTGCATATAAATGGAATCATACAATATGTGGCGTTTTTGTCTGGCATCTTTCACTTAGCGTGTTTCAGGGTTCATCCATGTCGTAGCATATTATCAGTAGTTCATTCCTTCTTATTCTCCTTTCGATACATTACTAGATTTGCTTTTCTAATATTTCGTTTAGGATTTCTGCATCAGTATAAATGAGTGAGATCGATCTACAGTTTTCTCTTCCTTGCCCTGCTTTGCCTGGCTTTGGTATCATGGTTTTAGTTTTACAGATTTAGTTGGGAAGTATTTCTTCTTTTTCTGAGTTTATGTAAGTTTGAATGTTTGATAGAATTAACGTATGAAACTGTTTGGATCTGATGTTTTCTTTGTGAGAAGGTTCAGTTGGAATTTGTCCATTACACCAGAGTTTTCAAATTTCTTAAGACTTTATTAAAGTAGTTATTCTCTGTTTACATCTCTGCAGCATCTATACTCAAGTTCCCATTTTCAATCCAAATATGTTTATGTGTATCTTCCTTCTTTTTTTTCTTGCTTAGTCTCACCAGAGATCAGATTTTTTATTAGCCTTTTCAAATAAACATGTCTGCTTGATTGATCTTTGTATTGTAAATTTGTTTTATGTTTAATTCATCTCTTCTACTTTCTTTGCTTTTTAAAAGTCTATTTTGCTTTGTTTTTTTCTGTTTTTTTAGAAGTTTTTACCTGAAAGTTTAGGTCATTTTCTAACATGAGCATTTGAGGCTGTAAATTTCGCTGGGTCCTATGTTAGCTGCTCCCAGAATTTTAATATATGATACTTTCTTTTTATCATTTATTTTCTAATTCGCGTTATGATTGATTTTATTCTTTAACCCTTGAATTATTGAGAGCTATGTTTTAAACTTTCTGAGCAGATGGTTTTTAAATTTATCTTCTTAAAAAAATGGATTTTCAACTTAACTGTGGTAGGTAAGATCACGGTTTATGTGATAACTAAGTCTGATTTTTTTTAAGACAAGTTTTATGACATAGTTCATTATCAGTTTTTTATCAGTGTTTCATGTTTGCTTGATAAGAATGTATACTGGTTATAGTGTATTAATATATCATTAAATTATGCATATTTATTCTGTTGCTCACATCTCCTATAGCTTTACTTTTTAAAAAAATTTGCTTGATGGATTAATGTTTAAGAGAGGGATGAGGAAATCTACCGTGAGACATGTATGTATGTTAAAATCTCCCTGTTATGTTCAATATATCAGTTTCTCCTTATAATCCTACCTATTTTTGTTTTATATATTCTGAGGATATTTTTTGAAGTGCATATAAGCTTAAGATTTTTATATCACTAATTAATTGAACCTTTTATCCTTATCTAGTGATTTTCTTTTATCCTTAATATTAATTTTTGTTGTAAAGTCTAATTTGTCTAACATTAATAAAACTACACCAGCTTCCTTTTAGTTAGTGTTTGAGTGTTATATCTTTTTCCATACTTTTACTTTTGATCTTTCAGTATCTTTATGTTTAGATGTCTCTCTTGTAACTAGTATTGGCTGGGTTTTAAAAAAATCCGCTCTGTCCATCTTTTCCTTTTTACTGATAAGCTCAGTTCTTTTACGGTTATTTTGGTTATTCATATAATTGGTCTTGTTTCTTACCGTTATACTCTATGTGCTTTCTATTTATCTCACCTTTTCTGTCAATAGTTTTTCTCCTATCACAGATATTATGTATTTGAATTTTTTTTCTCTTGTCATGCCTTATTTTGGATTTTTTTTTGATTGAATGCAGGTTTTCTTATTTTCTCCTTTTCTACTAATTTGGAAATTATATACAGTATTTTTCTTTTAATGGTTACATTAAAAATTTTACCATGCAGTTACATTAAATTTAACTTTAAATTTAAAGTTAAACCATTTTCTTAGCCTTCCTCCTCACAAATAGAAGGACTTTCAAATATTTTGACTCTGATACTTACCAACATACATGCTATGATTGTCTAGAAAGTACAGACAGTGTTTGTTTTCACTCATGAAGTTACTGCTTTGTGCTTAATTTTTCTTTCGTCATAAACCTCTCATCTGGGAACTTCCTTCTGCCTGCATTCATCTTTTAGGATTTTTTTTTTTACAGTGTAGGCCTGCTTCATGTCAAACTCTTTTTTATTTTTAGTTGGAAAATCCTTTTATATCCCATTCTCCTAAGATGTATTTGCTAGGTATTGTGTATTTTCTAGATTGACATTTCTGTTATTGAAGACAACATTTAACTCTTTTCTGACTTCCATTATTATTGTTAAGTCAGCTGTAATTCTAATAGTTGGTTTCTTTGTAGATGACTAGTTTTTTTTTTTTTTAAGTTTCTGGTTGCTTTTAATATCATCCCTTTATCTTTGGTGAATGACATTTTTAGTACTATGTTTCTAGTTCTGGATTTCTTATTATTTATCTTATTTGGGATTTGCTGGGCTTCTGAGATCAGGGAATTGATGTCTTTTATCAGTTCTGAAAAATTCTCAGCCATTTTTCTTTAAATTGCTTCTGTCCCATGTACTCTCTTTTCTCTTTCTGGGACTTGGATTAGATGTATAGTAGACCTTTTTGCTCTGTCTTCTGTGTCTATGTCTCTTAACCTCTCTTTCCTATTTTCTATCTCTTTGCTTCTCTGTGATCTGAAACCAGTCAAGATCGAGGTAGGTAAATATGAAAGCCGGATTTGCCCAGGTGGCAAATGCTAATATTAGCCCTGGGATCCAGACACTAAGCCTTGGATCCAACCCAAGATAGAAAAGTTGCAACTGAGATGTTTTCATTGAGACAAGACCCTTGAGGGACTAACACATACCATCTGGCCTTCTGGCAGATGCAAATCCAGATGCTGTAGGAATGAAAGCACTCCCAGTTTAAAGCCTGAGAATTTCCATATATTAGGTTCAACTAAATATGAGCTCCTAAACAAAACCACACAAAGAAATAAGCCGCCATGAGTGAAAGTACAAATATAATTTCATATTTAGTCATCTAGAGACTTCAAATACTGGGAATTTTTTTTCTTTGCTTGAACTTAAAATGTATTAAAATGTATGTTTGATTTAATTCACTTGGGGTCCACTTTTATTGTACCAGGAGGGCCCTTTGGGACATCTAGTCTGCCATAATGGCATAAATGGAAGCATTTGTAGAGGAATGTTTTACTCACTAGTTAATAATTAATTAAAGCCTTGAAATGCTAGTCATATTCTTATGAGATTTTTTTGCAGCCTGAGAATAACTTCTTTTAAAGTTATTAGGATCTGCTAGTTTTTTCCAGGTTGATAAAAGATGTTTGGAAAAGATTGTATGGAATGATTAAGAAAATGGTAATTTAAGAAATCCTGAATAAAATGAAAATTAGAGTCAAGTAGTATATATTGTGTCATAATAAACCAGCTTTGATATTTTTATGTACTAGAAATATATCAGAAACATATCATTGTTTTTCTTGATATTATATGTTTTGATTAAAAAATTAATTACCAATATTACTTCTACCCTTTTCTTCCCTGGAATTTTTAGGCGCAATATTCATGGGATAAGCAAAGAAAAAATAACAAGAATGTTGGAAAACTATCAACGTTTTGTTTCAGTGCCAATAATCATGAATTCTTCAGTTCCCGAGAAAATTGAACGTATTGAGTTGTGTGCATATTCTTCTGAGGACAGAAGTACTAGGTAGGTTAAAATCCCTATGTACAAAAATTCAATTTGAAACATAATTTTAAAAAATATGATTTTTAAAACACTGAAATCACTGCCAAATAACTTTAAATATAAGGTAGATATTTGTTATTTGTAGGGTTTAGATATAGTCTTATCTGAAGAAGAATGTATATGGTTAGTAAGAGGAGTAAAAGTTTATATATGCAATGAAATGGGAGTTTATTCATTGTCCTCAGGGTTTTGTGAGTCCATGTTTATACTACGAATACTTCTGCCTTCTTTATGTAACTTCCTGCTATTCCAGTATTTATCTGTTATATTATTGCCTTTCTGTTATTACTATAGTCACATCACTTCTTAATTTCCTTAGGTATTAGTAAGAATATTCCTTCAAGCTGATATCATAAAAATTAATTATTAATGGTAAACTTTTACTAAGTAATACAAGTTAGAGCCTTTTGAAAGTTTGCAATTCGGGATAGTACTGATTCTGTTAAAAATTTAGGACATATACTGGGGCTGGCCTGGTGGCGCAGCGGTTAAGTTCACATGTTCTGCTTCAGTGGCCTGGGGTTCACCGGTTTGGATCCTGGGTGTGGACATGGCACCACTTGGTAAGCCATGGTGTGGTAGGCATCCCATATAGAAAGCAGAGAAAGATGGGCATGGATGTTAGGTCAGGGCCAGTATTCCTCAGCAAAAAGAGGGGGATTGGTGGCAAATGTTGGCTCAGGGCGAACTTTCCTAAAAATAAACAAAACATTTAGGACATATAAACAATTGAATAAATAAGTGAGTAAAGAAGAACCTTAAATACATATAGAGGTCTGAATTTCCTGTATTTTATGATGCTAAGATATGGAAAGACTCTGTTAAAAAGGAGTTGAGAGTTAGGAAGAGAAATTGATAAATGTTCTTTTATTGAGCATTTACTTCAGCTCTTCATTTCTAAAATGGCAATCATAACACTTTGCTCATAAGGATCTTATAAGAATTATGATTAACACTTGTAAAGGACTTAGAATAGCATCTGGCCCATAGCAAACTTAATGTTAGATGTGATTTCACTTAGGAAGGCTTCAAGGGAGAGTTGGGGCTTTGAGAGGTCCTGGAATAAAGAAAGAAAGAAAGAAAGGAAGATGAGTTGACAAATTGAATAAAGAAAAGCACTGAAGTTCAAAGTGTAATGATTAGGCAAAAGTGCTCTGAGTCTGAAATTAACATGGAGGATGGTTTTTAAAAATTTGACAAGTGACGTCTTAAATGAGAGCTCTCCTCCCTTTCTTTCATTTTTCTTAATAGTGCAAATCATGTTTGTTGACTCTTTAGGACTTTGTTAATAAATGAAGCTTAAGTGTTTTCCTCTGTAGCAAATGACAGATAGGTGGTATAGAGGCAGACCTAGTTTCATGAATACATTAAGCTTAAATAGGTCAGAAAGAAGCCAGGGGGGTGATGTCTTCTTCTAGGAGCAAATTTAGAACCTAAACTTTAATATTTCATGCATAATAAGCACCTTAGCTGAAAATCTCATGTTTATTATGCAATTTAAAAAAAATTGAGTGCTTCCTATATGTCAAGTATTGTGCTGGGTATTGGGATTGCAACAAAGGGATGTGTTCATTGTGCATTAAAGAAAGATCAAGGTTAGCTTTTGTAATTTTAATGTAGTTTATTTCTAGAATTTTTAGAATAAATAAATGTTAAGTGCCCTGTCTTTCAGTTGAGTCCTTCTTTAATTTAAATCATGATATTAATAGTAACATTAAGAGATTTCCTTATAATACTTTTAAAAAAATCTTACAGCCCGAGAGACAATGAAGATATTACCTCTGAAAAAGAAGAAAATATTTTATCCTCATCTTTGAAGCACCTAGAGTTAATTGAAGAGAAGAAACTTGAAGTAACCAAAGCAACTATGTTACTTGAGAATGTTACTTATCTCCCTAATGCAGATTTAAACAAAGGAAGAAAAGAAACAAGTGGTATGAATCCTAACGTTGAGAGTACTTTCATTCAGGAAGTTCCCGACATGGGTTTTTCTGATTTTGAAAGCAGACTACGAGTAACAGACAAAAGTGAAAAAGAAGAGCAAGAAGAAATGGCTTCTGAACAAGAGTATAGTAAAACCAATGTAGATAGTTTTGTAGAGAGAGTGTCACCGAGTATTTGCTATGGTGAAAATAATCAAGAAGACTGTGATCTTTCACATACTGTGCCACTTCAAAATGAAAAGTCTTCAGCTAATGAAGTATTGGAAGAAAGAGCAATGGTAAAGAAAAAAACCTTTGGAAAACAAAAAAGCAAATCAGCTTTGGAAAAGTTCCAGAGACAGGAGCTATCAAATTTTGTTGGTGACTGGCCAGTTGATAAGACTATTGGTCAGAGAATGAAAAGGAACCGAAAAACTGAAAAAGCTTCATCTGTACAAAGTGACAAAAAGTATAATTGCCCTCCATCACACAAAGTATTAGATAATAGTCTGTCTGGGAATATAGATTGTATCCAGCAACGAGGATCTCCACATGAAAGTGTAGAGGCTAACAAGAAGTCACAGTGTGATGATACTTCAGAATCCTTCAATAGCAGTATGTATGATACTTATAAAAATACTGAAAAAAACTCGTTTAACATTGTGGGCGACTGGCCTTCATCTGATTCTTTAGCTCAGAGAGAGCACAGAACAAGAATGCCAAAGGCTGGTTTGAAAGAACCCAACCTAGAATTTGGAACTAATGACAATATGAATGAAATATCCTTATACACGGCACGTGAGGCCTGTTGGGGCACAAGCCCTGAAGAACTAAAAACATTGGGTAGCGCCTCTCTAGGAGGTTCTGAAATGCTGTCCAGTGAAATGACCTGCGAGGATAAGACTTGTCCAAGTGAAAAGATCCATGGGCCGCACACATTGTCTCTTACTTTTACCGATAGTACGCCAACTATTCCTGGAACGGTAGGACCACAGACTTTAGTTGAATTTCAAGAAGGAAAGCTTAAAGAAGTCCCTGGAGTAGAAGTAGGTGTGTATACTCAGACTGAACCACAGGATTTTGCTCTCTTATGGAAAATAGAAAAAAATAAAATTAGTGTTTCCGATTCTTTGAGAGTATTAACAGGAAGATTAGATGGATTTAAACCAAAAGCTTTGAATATGAACAGAAAATTAGATGTTCAAGAAACAATTCCGTATAGGGTAATGTATGATAAAAGCACGTATGTTGAAGAAAGTGAGCTTACCAGTGCTGATGAATCTGAAAATCTTAACATTCTTTGTAAACTATTTGGATCCTTTTCATTAGAAGCCCTAAAAGACTTATATGAGAGGTGTAACAAAGATATTATTTGGGCCACAAGCCTTTTGTTGGATTCTGAAACTAAATTGTGTGAGGATACTGAATTTGAGAATATCGAAAAATCATATGATGAAGCACAAATTGGGCCATTTTCTCTGGGATTGAATTTGAAGGAAATTATTAGCCAAAGAGGACCTTTAGAGGATTCTGATTTTTCTGTGCCAGAATTTAGCCATGGAAGTGGTATCAGTAGCATTAATATGCAGTCTACCTGTGATTCAGAAAAGGGAAACTCAGAGCAGGCAGAAATAAGAATTACAACTACTGAAAAACCTGGATTAATAACAAGTATATTTCCTACTACTACTGTAGATCTAAAGAATACTAATGAAGTGCTTCCTAATAGTCAGGCAGAACTTTCGGGTTTATATAACAGTAAGCAGTCTTTTCCAGGTACTCTAAAAGTCACTACCACTCCAGATGAGAGTGAAATGGAGAAGAATCTAGAAGTCACAGAGATTGGAGACAGTATACGTTCTTTGAATTTGTCTGATGTTGTAAACTCTGTATCGAACACTTCAAATCTTGAATTAAATGAAGAATTTTATTTTACTGACTCTTTTGAAATAAAGAAAAATGAAAATCTTCCAAAGGATTATTTGAAATTTCCAAACACAGAAGAATTTATGAATGAAGATGAACAGGAAATGGAAAAAATTCTAATGGCAGGGAGTACTTTGTCAGCTGGAGTAGGTGAAGAAGATAAAACTGAGATGTTGAATCCAATGCCAGTGACAGCCAAATCTCTGACCATAGACTGTCTGGAATTGGCATTACCCCCTGAACTGGCTTTTCAGCTCAGTGAATTATTTGGCCCTGTTGGTATTGATTCAGGTAAGGGAAAAGTAAATTACCTATATGTGTGTCTTTGTGTGAATAGAATATAGATAGAAGGTTCTATTTCAATTAAAAAATTATTTCATATGTTAACCAAAATGTAAAAGTAATTTGTATTACTTGCTGTATTTTTGACACAATGTGTTTGTAGAGGATTTTAAAAAATGTAATTTGAGGGGCTGACCCAGTGCCGTAGTGGTTAAGTTCGTGTGCTCTGCTTCAGAGGCCCAGGGTTTGTAGGTTTGGATCCTGGGTGTGGACCTATGCACTGCTTATCAAGCCATGCTGTGGCAGGTGTCTCACATATAATAAAGTAGAGGAAGATGAGCACAGATGTTAGCTCAGGGCCAGTCTTCCTCAGCAAAAAGAGGAGGGTTAGTGGTGGATGTCAACTCAGGGCTAATCTTCCTCAAAAAAAAAAAAAAGTAATTTGAAGAAATAGAGAGTATTTATATGGAGTTTGTTCATTCGGTGCATATATATTGAAAGTTTTCTCTAGTATTTACCTCATACTTATTTGCACAGATGAGCCTTTTTGAATCATTTGGTGCTTCTCCAGATACATTTAAGGCAAGATTAATTTCTTAGAACACACTTGTTGAAAACTCTCAACTAATGGAAATGAATAAATTAAATATATTTAGATTAATGGACATGAATAACTTAAATACATGAAGTACTGTATAATGGCAGCAGCCAAAAAGTGTGATAACAATGACATATTACATACACAAAAATGTTCCAAGAGATTAAGAACTAGAAACAGGTTAGTAATTAATAATACAGATTAGTTTTATGATGCATAAGGTGGTTGAGTACGTTTTCTGCAAATGTATAATGAGTAATGATTATATTTTCTTTTCTTTTTTCCCCCTCACAAGGGTCTCTAACAGTTGAGGATTGTGTGGTTCATATAGATCTGAACCTGGCTAAAGTGATTCATGAGAAATGGAAAGAATCTGTAATGGTTGGTAGGCTTCTTTTTATAAAGAGCTCCGTTTGTGTCCATTTTGTCACCTTTGCTCTTCAATAAAATCTTCTATGTTACACAAAAGGCTTCTATTGAATTTTGACTTTGAGAGAGAATGAGCTTTACCACTTAACAGATTACTGATTTTTTTGTCTCTTTCCAGTATTTTAGATTATTTCCAGACTGGCTAAATGATATAATTAATGATGGAGCTCAGTATGATTGTTTTTTTTTTTAAGAGAAAAAAATAATAGTTTTTTACTCCCTAAATTAAAGACTTGCAGTGCTGATTGATTAAATTTCAAGAACAGTTTTTAAGAAAATACAGCATAAGAGCTCTTTAAGTGGAAAAAAATATATAGATGTAGTCATACTTTATAATTTTATTTATCTAAGTTTATTGTTTTACTTAGATTTAGCAAGAACAATTGATAGTTTTACAAGGAGAAATGATTGCTAGAGAAAAATAATATAATCTCATTTTCATTTTTGGTTTATAATAATCTTGTTTTCTAATGCATTCTCCTTTGCCAATCCCATTTTCTGCGTTTATGTTTAGGAGCGACAAAGACAAGAAGAGGTATCCTGTGGCAAGGTTATGCGAGGTAAAGCTCATAGTTTTACTTCTAACGTTCTTGTCTCGATGTTGACACTTGGTGCGCATGTATGGATTTTAACTCGTTTTAAATATACTTCCACAAAATATGTTATCCCAGAATTTTGATTTGCAAATAAAAGTTCTTTAAAAACACTTAACATTTATTATTGATATAAAATAAAACTTAAAGAAGAAAAAAGCCCCTATAATATTATTTAGCTTTCATGGGTGCTGTGAAACACCTAAGGTTGCTCTAATCCATGTAGTCAAGGTGTTCCCTGTTAAGATTTTGCTCTGAATGAAAGAAAACTATTCTGGTTTGAGAACATCATTGAAATACTACTTGGTTATTCAAAATTTTTATTGATGTTTATATTAGTAGAGTGCAAAAATCAGTTATTTTTTTGATTCATCTGCCAAATTGAAAATATTTGATTCCAGAAGAGTTCTCTTAGATAGCATTGTCCTCAGTGATTAGTGCAGGGTGGCAGACCTGTTAGTAAGGGTCCTCCTTTTGTGCATGAGTTCCTTCATATACCTCTTTTGTCCACTCCACACTGGGACTCCAGTTTGAAGATTCTTAGGATGAACTTTAGTTCAGATCTGTGCTTGTGTTGTAGCTTCAAGAGCTAAAGCTGTTTGAGAGCTGGAGGTGCCCAAATATCAGAGTTGTGCGAAGGCAGTATTTGCTGTTTCTTCACTCTCCAGCAAAGGACTGTATCAGAATGTGTTGATATCCGTTAGAGATGCTGAAAGGTTGCACATTAAAACTTGTTGTTGTGAACTTCTTAGAATGTTCAGTTCCTTCCTTATGTTGAATGTCATTTGCTCAATATTTGTGTGCCTTCAGTGGGTTACAGGTTTGTCAAAATATTGATCCTTCCGTCCTTGGAGTGACTGGGCAGAGCTGACCGGAGCTGCTCTGGCTGGCTGCAGCTTGCTTTGTTTACCAGTGTATACATGTGTTACTGTTTTCTGTGTGTTGTTGTGATACGAAAAAGAGTGGGAAGCAGTGAGTCGATTTACAGTGATACCCAGATCATAGCTCATTTGAAATATTCCTGCATTTATACGTATCATTTCTTGCTTGCAATTAGGTGAAGATGTATTTTGAAACTTCAGAGTTGCATTATATTTATGAGCTAAAGGTAAAAAACCGTGTCTCCTGGGTCTCTCTGAGGTAGATGTCACAGAGTGAATTACGCTTGTTTTGTACATTTGTTGTTGAGGCTCTGACACTGTTTATACTGCTTTTGTAGATCCTTCCATGGTTGGGCACATTGGTCTTGATAACCCTGAACAAAAATCATCTCAGAGAACAGGCAAAAGATTACTGAAGACTTTAGCAGCACCTGAAATGCTACCCCTGTTGGATCATTGGAATACTCAAACTAAAAAAGTATCACTCAGAGAAATAATGTCAGAAGAAATTGCCTTACAGGAAAAACACAATTTGGTATGAGTTAGTATAAATATTAAGCCTTTGTCTCTGACTCTAGGTTGATTATGTGTGTTTACTTTGTGATTTTTGTTTGATTCTGTTTCCTAGTCTGAAATCTGTATTTAATCTGATTGAAGTTAATGTTAAAATTGAAAATTGTTTTACATATAGTTTAAAGCTGGAGGTTTTTGCCTCTGGGAAATTAGTTGATATTCTATAACAATAAGCCAACCTATGTTAAATCTGTTTTAGATTTAATTTTGCAGGTGATTGAGCTGCATGTTTCTTAGCTTTTGACATTTACTTCTGTAATTTTTTAATTCTAGAAACATGACAAAAATCTTTTATTTAAAGATAATTTCATTCATAAATTAGTAATAAAAAATGTCCTGTTAGTAAGAGGTGTCCATTTTTGAAACAAAATTTTTTAGAGAAAATTTTAGAAACTTAAGAATTTGAATTAAAAAATTAAATACTCTTTTTCTTCTAACTTTTCAATTAAACAAGTTCAAACAGAAACTTCACTTTGAGCTCTATTTATTTTTGTTCCTTGTTCAACATATCTAACTATATGAAGCCATTAGAGAATTTGGTTTCCTTTGCATTTCTTCTTCTTAGCCTTTTTCGGAATTCTGAAAATTAGTATTAGAGAATTTCAAAATCAAAAGGGAAAAGATCTTAGAGGTTATTTAGTTCAATTCTCAAGGAAAAAACTGGAATTCTTAGATGGTGATCTTAAAAACATTTTTACTTTTTTCCTGCTCATTTGTCTGCTCGAAGGAGCACTTTTATTTTTGGCAGAAATATGTACCACTGGGGCATAGGAAGAATGATGGGATTCCACCACCTTCGTATTTATTTTCCCCTGTTACCTTGTTAATTAAGTTGCGAATATGCTGCCATTCCCATCTTTGTGTGTTCATATAATCCAAGGACCAGTCTCTTCAGTAGCATCTTGTAATTTACTGTTGTTTCAAATATCCTCTTCAGTTTATGTGTGTAGTAAATTGGGCAAATGGATTTTCTTGAAAAATAAGGAAAGCCTAGAACTTATGCCCAAATAGTGTCACAATTTTTGTTGAAATGTCATTTTCCACTACTTAAACTTATCTTTATGGTTCTAACCTACCTTTTAATTTCTCAGTATAACAGTGAACAAATAAGCATCTTTAACTTCCCAATTTAATGCATTTTTTTCTGTCAGTGATTTTTGCTTGTCTTTCTGTGGTTTGGGTAATAGAAGCTGTACTCTTTTGGTCCCCAGGACTCCCCCTTAGTTAGAACCTCAGTAAGAGAATTTCTTGATGCCTTCTCCTCACTCTTTGTCCCCAAAGGGGAAATACACTTCGCATTTTTTTAAAGCAAAGAATATAAAATATACTTTAGGCATAATGTATGACTAGAGTAATTAACTTAGATGTTTAAGGTCATGAGTTTTCAGTTTATTGATGAGACCTTAGAATTTAGAGTTTAGAAACTCCATGACCTGGTAGATTGCTAGTAAATCCGATCACTGAATTTTTTAGTAGGTTCAGAGTATAATGCATATCTTAATAAAACATGAGATATTTTTAATTCTTGAAGTGAAGTGGCTTGTTTCCATCATTCTTGTGATGTGTTCAGCTTTACCGGTCCGTTGTACTGGTCAGATTGTCACCTATTGTGGTTCCTCTTCTATTATTGTTTGGTGTTATAAATGGCCTAAGTATGGTTAGGCTTCAAAACCAATAACTATTCTAGGATTGTCCTAGATTATTGTAATTTTTATGTTTAAGAATTTTCAGAGTCACCTTTGAAATTTGGTAGGAAGTTATTTTTCAGACGTTAGGATCTTTGTAGCAAATAAAAATATTATTTATTTACATCACAATGTCAACAAATTGTCTTAGGGTTAGAAATCACTTTAAGAATGTATACTATAATCCTAGGTTAGAATTAAAATAAACTTTAGGAGAGTTCCTTTGGTGTGGCAATTTGAACAGATCCAAATATGACTTGTGAACAAAGAACAATTAGTAACAATTCTCATACAGTTATTTTGGAGTAAATATGTTTGTGAAAATTTTTTAAATTGTGACTTTTAAGATTTTCTGTCAACCTGAATTTGCAACTTATTTGTTAATTGTAGTTTCTGCCCATTGAGGAGAATATGTTTTTGAGGACGTTGTTCACAGCATCACACAGTGTCCCTTTTATGAAGACCCATGGGAGAAATTTCTCTCAGGTCTCAGTACCAGAAAAAGCTGTACTTCTCCTGAGCAACTGGTTTGTTTATATTTTATGGACACTGAGAATCTCTGTTTCCCCCTTTGCTTTGGCCACGAAGAAGCTCAGAACTCAATTTGTGGCCCACCTTTAGCAATTGTACAGGATTTCATGGCATGCATTTATATACTAATTTTACTTGCTAGCTATATCCCATATTCTTACCTTTATTTTCTTTACTCTCTGACTTCATTTATTTATATCCTGTTTACTTATATGTATATATATATGTATATCTTCACCCTTTTTTATATAATATGCTTGAATGTGTTGACTGTGTATATATGAGTATGTATGTATGTATGTATTTATATGCACATGCACACACATACATATATGTAGAAGTATAATTGTGTGTGTGTGTATATTTTGAGCAGCTTCAAGTGCTTTGCAAAAAAATGGGATATAAATAAATAGTGCAAGAATACTTATATTACTAATTTCTGCCTTTAATCAGTGAAGAAAATCTGTGATTGCTTTTACATTAATAGTCTTTGCAACGAAATAGCTATGCTTTTGGATCAGCATAATTAGTATTATAGATTCCATTTTTAAGGGTGATTTTTGCCTTTTCTATTTTTTTTTTTTTTTAGAAAAGGGAGTCACTTATGTTTGAAAAAGATTGTGCCACTAAACTAAAGGAGAAGCAACTCTTTAAGATATTTCCTGCCATTAACCAAAATTTTCTGGTGGACATTTTCAAGGACCACAAGTGAGTGCTGGAAGGATTGCCTGTAGTTTCTACTGTGATGTCATTGAAAGCATATACCATACATTTTAATCTCTTATTTTTATTTTTCTGATAAAAGCAATATAGGTATATTATAAACTATTTAAATGTACTATAGAAAGCAGTTTCTGGCAATTGGTTTATATTCTTCCTCAATTTTTTTCTCATATGTATGCTAACGCATGTGTGCCTATTTGTTTTTGTGTGTATATATAAATATATATTTCACCAAAAAAGAGGCTGTGTTTTATGTGCTGTTGTAGTTTTGTTGGTATTTAGTTTTCCTGTCTGTATTTAGTGATCTGCTCTTTTCTTTTTAAAGTCTACAGAATATTCTATAGTTTTCTTACAATGATTTCTTAAAGTACTATAGTTTATTTAAACATGCTTACGGATTTTTTGACTGTAAGAAAAATTGAAAACCCTATTGCACCAAGCATTCTTGAACATACATCTTTGTGTACATGGGTGAATGCTATTATAGGCTTGTTCCTTAAAAGTGAAATTGCTAGGTCAGAGTGCATTTAAAATTTTATACCTAATGCCCAATTTCATTTGATAAAGGCTTTCTCTATTGGTTGTATGCACTGATAGTGTAACTGACTCTGCATATTAACAATCTTTAAAATTTTTGTCAAGCTGATGGGAAAAATGATATTCTGTTGTTTAAATTCTTATTTTTCTGATTACTAGTAAGGTTGAGCTTTTTTCATTTATTTCTTTTTCTGTTAGTTGCTTACTTTTTGCCTGTTTTCTTTTTGGTTGTCTCTATTTCTAGATTGGCGAAAGTTCTTTGTATATTATCTATAGTAATCTTTATTAATATAGATTATAATTATTTTTTCCTGTCGTGATACTTATCTCTTAACCTGGTATCATTTCTTTGGTCATATACATGTTTTAATTCATATACTTTACCAGAAAATCTTTTTTCTTTGTTGTTTCTGAATTTGATGTCTCATTTAGGAAGTCCTACCCCAATATTATAAAAATATTTCTTCAGTATTTTTAATAGTTAAAAAGTGTTTAATTTATCTGGCATTTTTATGTGTATATTATGAGGTAGAGATTTAACTTAATTGTTTTTCCAAATAACTAACTGGATGAATAGATCGTCTTTACCCACTGTTACAAAATATAACCACTAATATTTACCACATTCCCAAATATGCATTTTCTTTTAAAGACTCTTTGATTTTATTGAGCTATTTGTTTGGTCCTGAGTTTCTACCATATTGTTTTAATTACTGTGTTATTGTGTGCTTTGATGTTTGATATGTTAAGAGTGCTTCTAGTTTGAATAACATACATATACTTTTGATCTTATCTTTTTCTTAAATTCTTATTTTAGTAAGAGTTACTTTAAATAGCTGCCTTTTTAGAATCTTTTGAGAATTCGCATATGAATTTTTTTCTTTAGTTTATTAGTATATTTTGTGTCAGTCACAGTAATAGATTTCTGGAATAAAACCTACTTTACCTTTAGATATTTTTTTACAGTAAATATAATTAACTTTTTTGGGTATTTTGATGCCAAAATAATGTTTTTCTTATTTATTTATTTATTTGCTTTTATTTTATTGTGGTAACATTGGTTTATAACATTATATAAATTTCAGGTATTACATCATTGTATTTTGATTTCTGTGTAGATTACATCATGTTCACTACCCAAAGGCTAATTATAATCCATTACCATACACATGTGCCTAAGCATCCCTTGTGCCCTCCTTTCTCCCTGCTTCCCCTCTGCTAACCACTAATCTGATCTCTTTCTCTATGTGTTTGTTTGTTTGTTGTTTTTGTCTTCTATTTATGAGTGAGATCATATGGTATTTGACTTTCTCCCTCTGACTTATTTCACTTAGGATAATACCCTCAAAGTCCATCCTTGTTGTCACAAATGGCAAGATTTCATCCTTTTTTATTGCTGAGTAGTATTCCATTGTGTACATATACCATATCTTCTTTATCCATTCGTCCCTCGATGGGCACCTAGGTTGCTTCCAAGTCTTGGCTATTGTGAATAATGCTGCAATGAACATAAGGGTGCATATATCTTTATGCATTCGTATTTTCATGTTCTTTGGATAAATACCCAGCAGTGAAATAACTGGATTGTGTGATAGTTCTAGTCTTAATTTTTTGAGGCATCTCCATACTCTTTTTCCATAGTGGTTTACCAGTTTACACTCCTATTGGTAGTGTACCAGAGTATCCTTTTCTCCATATCCTCTCCAATGCTTTTATTTCTTGTCTTCTTAATTGTGGCCATTCTGACAGGAGAGAGGTGGTATCTCATTGTAGTTTTGATTTGCATTTCTCTAATAATTAGTGATGTTGAACATCATTTCATGTGCCTCTTGCCATCTGTATATCTTCTTTGGAAAAATGTCTCTTCAGATCTTTTGCCCATTTTTTTAATGGGGTTGTTTGTTTTCTCGTTGTTGAGATGTATGAGTTCTTTATATATTTTGGATATTAACTGCTTATCAGATATATGGTTTGCAAATATCTTCTCCCAATTGTTAGGTTATCTTTTCGTTTTGTTGATGGTTTCCTTTGCTGTGCAACTAAAACTAAGGCTTTTTAGTTTGATCTAGTCCCATTTGTTTATTTTTTCTGTTATTTCCCTTGCCCAGTCAGACTTGGTACTTGACAATATGCTGCTAAGACCACTGTCAAAGAGGATACTACATATGTTTTCTTCCAGAAGTTTCATGGTTTCAGGTCTTACATTCAAGTCTTTAATCCATTTTGAGTTAATTTTTGTGTATGATGCAAGATAATGGTCTACTTTTATTCTTTTGCATGTGGCTGTCCAGTTTTCCCAACACCATTTATTGAAGAGACTTTACTTTCTCTGTTGTATATTCTTGGCTCCTTTGTTGAAAATTAGCTGTCCATACATGTGTGAGTTTATTTCTTGGCTCTCGATTCTGTTCCTTTGATCTGTGTGTCTGTTTTTGTGCGAGTGCCGTGTTGTTTTGATTACTATCAGTATGTAGCGTATTTTGAAGTCAGGGAGTGTAATACCTCCAGCTCTGTTCTTTTTTCTCAGGATTCCCTTGGCTATTTGGGGTCTTTTGTTGTTCCATACAAATTTTAGGATTCTTTTTCTATTTCTGTGAAAAATATCGTTGGAACTTTGATAGGAATTGGATCAAATCTGTAGATTGCTTTAGGAAGTATGGACATTTTAACTATGTTAATTCTTCCAATCTGTGAGCACAGAGTATCTTTCCGTTTCTTTGTGTCTTCTTCAATTTATTTCAACAATGTTTTATAGTTTTCAGTGTACAGGTCTTTCACATCTTTGGTCTAGTTTATTCCTAGGTATTTTATTCTTTTTGTTGAATTGTAAGTGGGATCATATTCTTAATTTCTCATTCTTCTACTTCGTTGTTAGTGTATAGAAATGCAACAGTTTTGTATGTTGATTTTTGTATCCTGCAACTTTACCATATTCATTTATTGTTTCTAAGAGTTTTTTTGAGGATTCTTTAGAGTTTTCTCTATATAAAATCATATTGTCTGCAAGTATTGGCAGTTTCACTTCTTTCTTTGCAATTTGGGTCCGTTTTATGTCTTTTTCTTGCCTGATTGCTCTGGCCAGGACTTCCAATACAGTGTTAAATAAGAGTCATGAAAATGGGCATCCTTGTCTGGTTACTGTTCTTAGAGGAACAGCTTTCGGTTTTTCTCCACTGAGAATGATATTTGTTGTGGGTTTGTCATATATGGCCTTTATTATGTTGAGGTGCTTTCCATCTATACCCATTTTATTCAGAGTTTTTATCATAAATGGATGCTGTATCTTGTCAAGTACTTTATCTGCATCTATTGAGATGATCATGTGATTTTTATTCTTCATTTTGTTAATGTGGTGTATCATGTTGATTGATTTGCAGATGTTGAACCATCCCTGCATCCCTGAAATAAATCCCACTTGATCATGGTGTGTGATCTTTTTAATGTATTGTTGTATTCAGTTTGCTAGTATTTTGTTAAGGATTTTTGCATCAATGATCATTAGTGATATTGGCCTGTAATTTTCTTTTTTTTATGTTGTCCTTGTCTGTTTTTGGTATCAGGGTAATGTTGGCTTTGTAGAATGGGCTAGGAAGCTTCCCCTCTTCTTCAATTTTTTAGAAGAGTTTGAGAAGGATAGGTATTAAGTCTTCTTTGTTTCATAGCATTTACCAGGGAAGTGTCTGGTCTGGACTTTTATTTTTTGGGAGGTTTTTGATTACTGTTTCGATCTTTTTACTGGTGATTGGTCTATTCAGATTCTCTATTTCTTCTTGATTCAGTTTTGGAAGGTTGTATGATTCTAAGAATTAATCCATTTCTTCTAGATTATCCAATTTTTTGGTGTATAGCTTTTTGTGGTATTCTCTTATAGTCTTTTGTATTTCTTAGGTATGCATTGTAATTTCTCCTCTTTCATTTCTGATTTTATTTATTTGAGCCTTCTCTCTTTTTTCTTGGTGAGTCTAGCTAAAGGTTTGCCAATTTTGTTTATCTTTTCAAACAGCTAGCTCTTAGTTTCATTGATTTTTTCTATTTTTTTCTTAGTTTCTGTTTCACTTATTTCTGTTCTAATTTTTATTATTTCCTTCCTTCTGCTGATTTTGGGCTTTGTTTGTTCTTCTTTTTCTAGTTCCTTTAGGTGCACTGTTAGATTGTTTATTTGGGATTTTTCTCGTTTGTTGAGGTAGGCCTGCTTTGCTATAAACTTCCCTCCTAGAACCACTTTCCCTGTATCCTATAAATTTTGACACATTATATTTTCATTATCATATTTCTCCAGGTATTTTTAGATGTCTCCTTTGACTTCTTCATTGACCCAATCATTGTTCAGCAGCATTTTGTTTAATCTCCACATATTTGTGGCTTTTCTGGTTTTCTTCCTGTAGTTGATTTCTAGTTTCGTACTGTGATGGTCAGAAAAGATGCTTAGTATTATTTCAGTCTTCTTA